CCTCACGCTATAGTAGCACCGAAATACTATTATTTTCGTAACTGATGGTGTAGTATACAGAAGCCTGAATATAAATTTTGCCTTTTTTTTCTGTTAAAATAAAATGACTCAATTTTTGTCTGTTGAATATTATTTTAGATATAAAAATCTTGGTATAAATCAGCACAGGATTTTTATTTTTTTGACATTTGTCATATTTTTCCATATCAGTATATTGATCAAAGTTCATGGTCTTTTCTTTGAATATGAGGTTAACTAAAAATCCGATTAATTTCTGGACCATCAGTATAAGCAAAACATTTCAACACAGGTTTTGAGACTGAGTGTGCTATTGGATGTTGTGCTGACTTAAGCTTCCTTTCACTGAACACGTAAGAAAATAAAACTAATTGTTGTCTTACAAATATAATGTTATTAGAACTACATATATGGAAAATTGTTCTCTCATTGGATTTTATGATATACAGTTATTTACTATAAGCTACAATTTTGAAGGTTAAAAAACATTTTTCAGAAATATACTGTTGATAATACTAGGATTCTATGTGGTATACATCTTTCACCAAAGATTAAGAAAACCATCCGAATGACACTGAAATGATAGTATACATTGAATATCAGAAATGTAATTACTTGACTGGTATGCGTATGAATTTTTTAATTGTTATATATATTGTTTTTATTATTATTAATGTAAAACTAATAGGATGGAACATTACATGAATTTTGAGCTTGCATGTAGAAATGACATTACTAGTTGTAAGGACTTATGTTTTACATACATATTATATTTCAGACATGCCACTTGGTACCCTGATGCTGAGTTTTTCAAGCAGTTTGATGGTCCTGTTATGTATCCAGATGAAATTTCCTCAAAGTGGAAGCTACCCCCCTGGAATTGTAAGTTAAAATCTAAACTAAGTGTTGCAATGTTGTCCTTTAAGTTTGGATGGAGAGAAATTTAACTGTTGTACCAGGGGACAGAATAGTTTGGTGGACTTGATTAGCAGAAACTGTTAATCAATATTGAATTTGGTTAGCGATTAGCAAGTATTGCTTAGCATAATTTTAACACATTATGGCAACTAAATCCAGCACTAAAAGTCTTAACTCTGTGTAAAGAGATCCACTAATGAAAAGAGGTAAATGATACATTTTTACTCTAATAACACATTTATTTTGGTGTTTGATGAATAAAATATTTTCTGGTATATAAAGTCAAACTTCATAACTGCAAGAAATACCAAATACCTCAGCTGTCACAAAATATTGCAACAATTGATTAACCAGAGAAAGAAGTGACTTGAAGATATTGCCACTGAACAATGTTGCCACAAATTGTTTTTCAAATTTCCTTTTTTGTGTGAGACCTCATCACTCTCTTCACAACATGGTCTCCTTGGTATTTTTTGATAGATTTTTAGGCAGAGTATTTATTGTTAAACTTTGTAGAATGGATGGCAACTGCCTGTTGTAGAAACACAAGTTTAGAGGACAACGTTTTGAAACATCACCCTCTACACTTGTGTCTCTACAACCAGGCAGTCGACATCCATTCTACAATTTCATCATGGTTTCCTTGGCTTTCTGAAAAAGAAAATGTCTAGTGACTTTCCAGCAGTAATTACCACTCTTGCCATGGGCATCCTTTACTGCACATGTCACAAGGTTTTTAGAGAGTTACATTCAAATTGTACTTGAACTACTTTTTTTGTTCATGTTATACCAATTAGTATAGCATAAAATTGTAGCTAATAATCCATATTTTAATATTATATGTTTTAATTTCTTAAATTTACAAGTCAATGTTAAAAAAATCCTGAATTTCCCCTAGTGTGAGAAATGTGACTTTTTTTTCTCCAGTTATCCCTTATTTTCTAATTTATTTACCGTCCCTCCAAAAAGTACAAAATTCAATGCAAATTACTCATTATAATATTGTCATTGCTCAAGCAAAGCATCATTTTCACAGCTTTCAATTTGGTTTGGTTACAGAGCCATTAAATAGAAAATCAGACCCACTTGCCACACTCGCCTGTCACAACCCTCTCTTTCAGGATTTGCCAGTTGTTCTCTCTTGCACTTAATACTAAATTACTTATAACCAATAGAAAGCCAAGGTTTTCGTCTGTCAAATGATGTATTGTATTACATTGTTTCTGTACAGAAAAATGTGAATTTCTCTTTTAGCACAAGCTTGGTTCTCATGAATAACACATAGACTAGCTTGGATGAATTTGTAATGGCTATTGTTGCATAGTTGGAAAGTCAGAAAACTGTGATAATTATGGGACATTGTCTGTTTTTTGCATGTTATTATTCTGTGTTCTTTGGTGCATTATTTAATTTATAATTACTTGGTGTACCACTACTATTAATTTAAAAATCAAAAATTGAAATCATTCTAGAAAGAAAAAAAGATAATTTATATTAATTTTGATTTTTTGGGGGTATGAGTTCAGTCAGATTGACGAACCGCGTATAGAGTTAGGGTAGAGAAAGTTTGCCAAATTTTGAGATTGTAATCACTAATAGACTATGGAGATAACCATTTGTATAGTCATATCCGTAATGCTTTTGGTATTAGGTCATGACTTTAAATGTTTGTAATAATGATCTAATTAGTAATAGACAAAGCTTAAGTTACTTGTGATTAAAAAAAAACTAAGATTACCTAACTAATAAGTGTATTGAAAATATTTTTTAGAAAAAGTTTTATATTCTGACATGCATTATGTAATAAATGTTAGTATTATTTTTAAAACAAAACACTTAATATTATATTAAATTCTGTTTACAAAAAAAAAAGTCTAGGTTTTCTAAATAAAAGTAATAGTGAAATATGTTTTCTTATTTCTATGGCTTATTTTGTACACATCAGTACTTGGTGAGTAAAACAAACATGTTTCAACGGGTATCATTTAGTTTTTCATTAAATTGTTGCTTTAACATCAAAATCTTATTTAGATTTGATTAGTTGTAGTAAAAAACATTGTGTATTTTTTCTTTCAGCTAAAATACCTCCTGTAGAAAAAACTGTCCGTAACATCGCATTAAACTTTGGTCCACAACACCCAGCAGCTCATGGTGTTTTGCGGATGGTGTTAGAACTAGATGGAGAGGTAAATTCTTAAACATATATTCAGTAAAGAGATATTATTTGTGTTTACTTTACATATTATTGGTAATAGTAATTTTTAAGTTTTAATTTGCATGCTCTATTTAAGGAAATATTAATATATTGTATATCATAGTTAATTTACATGTTTCCTTCAGTATTCAAGTATTTTTATATACTTTTATAGTATTATGACCATTATGTATGTGACAGCAGATAACAAACTATGGTAAACTTCAACAACTAAAGAAATTTTAGTTGTTTGCTTTAGTTTCTCTTTCACTCCAGATAATTTTATGTTATGATTCTCTAATTGCACCTTGATGAGTATTTTAAACTAACTGACCAAAATGAAAAAAAAAACATTAATGCATTATGAAGTTACTAAACTGATACTTTGGCATCATGGACAAAATAAAAAGTTATGAGAAATTTTTTATAATATTCCAACAGTTTAAAGTAATGTTGTGTTATTATAAAGCTGTTTCACATTAAGTTATACAGAGCATATGGTGTTTTCATGGTTTTAACTTTTTTTTTTTCTTTTTTTTTTTTACAGAATATTTAATGACTGGAATGGAACTTGTTGTTTTTAGGAGAAAATTGAAAAAAGAATAACTTGTATGTCTTAAAAAGTAGACTGACAGAGAATGAAGACATGGAAAATTAATTTTTTTTTTGTTATTCTCAGATTTGCAGTTGTGTTGGAAAAATGGATAATTTGGTTTGTTATTTCTATGTGTTAGTTAGATTTCTATTTTATTGCAGACAGTTATGCGGGCTGATCCTCACATTGGTTTGTTATTTCTACGTGTTAGTTAGATTTCTATTTTATTGCAGACAGTTATGCGGGCTGATCCTCACATTGGTTTGTTATTTCTACGTGTTAGTTAGATTTCTATTTTATTGCAGACAGTTATGCGGGCTGATCCTCACATTGGTTTGCTATTTCTACGTGTTAGTTAGATTTCTATTTTATTGCAGACAGTTATGCGGGCTGATC